GAGGTGGATTGATTCAGTGATTGGGGTAATCGGGGTGGGTGTGTCAGAGACAGTGCAATTGGCACAGGACAGAGCAGAGTTTAGGGCTGTTGTATATAGGGTCGCTATGAGTCGCAAGCGACTCGACGGCACATAACAACAACAACAACAACAACAAGATCTATTGTTAATAGGGTTGCTCTTTAGATGACTCAGCAACACCTAACAATAATCATGAGGTTGCCTACTGGCCCAATGGTGAGGAGTTCTGTTTTCTTAATGTTGTGATGTAACCTGTATTGAAGGCTGCAGTCTTTGATCTGCTGCAGTATTTCAAGTCCTCTTCACATTTTGCAAGCAACAGTGTGTCATCTGCACAATGCAAGTTGTTACTGAGTCTTTCTCCAATCCTGATGGCACATTCTTCTTCATTCCAGTTTCTCAAATGACTTGCACAGCATTCAGATTGAATAGATATTTAGAAATGTTTTATAGTGTAGTACCTGGCAAGAATATACATTTGTTAAGAGGTAAGCATTACTATGCCAGAAAAAAATCCAAAGAAAGGTAGCTGCTCCCTAAGGAGAAGTATTGGAGGACTCCTTGGAGGAGGTGGCAGTTTGGCAAAACTTGGAAAAATGAATAAAATTCCCACCAACAGAGAAGGGAAATAGTAGGGTGGAATTGCATGGTCAATAGCACATGAAAGAAAAGTTGGCAACTGGATCGAAGGAAAAGACATGGGGGAAAGAGAAGATATGAACTACTCTAGGAGGTCAACTCCTGCTAGTTACCTCTGGAGACAAGGTGATGGAAGCCTTAAAGGTTTTGTAGCAGATAAGAAAATTCTAGCTGTGATTTCAGAAGGCCATACTCTCTCTGCCCAGCCTGGAGGTAGGAGTCATAAGCACACAGGTCATTTGAAAAAAGGACTCAGTGGCATGGGGATAAGAGGATGCAGGTGAGGTGACGGACTACTGCAGCCTTCAGTATGGATTGATGCTCAACACCAAGAAAATAAAGATTCTCACCACTGGGCCAATTGGCAGCATCATGATAGATGGTGAAGAGATTGTTAATAGCTTCATTGCTAGTTCCACAATCACCACTCTTAGTACCAGCAGCCAGGAAATAAAAAGACTATTTGCACTGGGAAAATCTGCTGTCAGGGACCTCCGCAGGGTACTGAAGAGCAATGATGTCAGTCTAGACACTAAGGTGCACCTGATATAGGCCATGGTCTTTGCAATTACTTGCTATAATTAGAGAGTTGGACAATAACTAAGAGTGATAAAAGAAGAATGGATGTCTTTTGAGTTGTAGTGCTGGAGAAGAGTATTGAATATACCATGAACTGCTAAGAGAATAAACAGGTCTGTTCCATAGAAAGTGCAACCAGGCTGCTCCTTAGAGGCAAGGACTTTGAAGCTCCATCTGGGCATGTTGCTAGGAGAGACCAGTCCTTGGAGAAGGACATCATGGTTGGAAAGGTGGAGGACAGTACAAAAGCTGAAGACCCTGGATGAGATGGATTGACTCAAGGACTGGGGTGATGGGAGTAGTTGTGTCAGACAATAAGATTGGCTAAAGACAGCAGGATTCAGAGCTGTTGCACATAGGGTCGCTATGAGTTGTAAACATTTCGATTAGAGGGCACATAACAACAGGTGGAGTGTCAGAGAGGAAAGTAGTGAAGAGGGCACCTTGTTCCTCCGCACCAGCCAGGAAATGGTCAAATGAACGAGCACCCAGAGGAGTCAGAGGTTTCAAAATAGGAATCTGACCTTAAGCCCTCAACAGCCGCTCAGGGTTTGGGTGGGGGATTGGGGTCTCAATTTCTCCTTCAGAATCCTTATCCCATTCCCTGGTCTACTATGATTACATGCTTAATGTGTCAACTTGCAAACATCAGACCCTGAGTCGGTTTATTTCCATATCAGGTCCTGGCACCATATGTGACGACCAGTAAGGAGTTTTCTAACCGGTATGCTGAATGCTGAATGACTGAATTAGACATTGACACGAGGATTTGGGCAAAGGCTTCTTGTGCTGAGCACCTATAAATTCACGTAGGATTGGAAGTATTGCAAACCACAGTGGTTAGATTTGCATAAGAACACATCCTATGGAGAGTCTCTGGCCACCTAGCCATGTGTATGCAGACACAGTAAACAGGTGACACGCAGGCATTGTGTGAGGTCATTCACCTCTAATTCCTGGGCCTTTCAGAACAGTTAAGTATGTTGGAGCGCAGCTGTGGATGCATGTCACGCCTGGGAACCCCAAGTCCCCTAGGGTCACAGTAAGTCTGCGGGTCACTGCAGCTATGCTGAAGAGGGATGGAATTGACAGCCCCAGGGGCTGCCCGCGCACAGCACAGCGCCAGGGCAGACTCCAGCACTATTTGTCTATCTCCAAAGATCTTGCAAACTCTCTGCAGTATCCCAGAGAACAGGTTTCCAGGCTGGTCGCCGGGGTCCCTGAGCGCGACCTACGGTGCGAAAACGCACCCCGCCTGCTAGTGCACAGCCCGCACCAGTTTGCGCCCAACTCGCCAACTCTGGGACTTTCGCAAAGCTCCTGCGGGGCGGGGGAGCCACCAAGGAGCGGGCTGCACCATCGCGTCCCGAAAGGGGGACCCAGGTTTGTCCCGGACACCATCACTCCTGGACCTGCCACGGCGCACAAAGAGAAGGCCAAAGCAGGAGGTCAGCGGTGTTCTGAGGACTCCTGGAAGAAAGGTGGTCCTCCCTCGCTGTGCAGCGGGGCCCGACGCCAGAGTCGGCTGCAGCGCGTCCCCCCTGGCGGTGGCGGCGCGGTGGCGGCGCCCGGCTCCCCGGCCGGCGAGCGGCGGAAGTGCCGCGGAGTTGGAGCGGGGCCGGCGCCGCGGCCGCTTCTCCTCGCATAGCTGCTGCCGCCGTGGGGCGAACGTGTGAACGCGCGGTGCTGGGGGCGGCGCGGCGCGGCCGGCGGGGCGCGGTGGAGCTGACCGGCTCCGATGAGGCGGAAAGAGAAGCGGCTCCTGCAGGCGGTGGCGCTGGTGCTGGCGGCCCTGGTCCTCCTGCCCAACGTGGGGCTCTGGGCGCTGTACCGCGAGCGGCAGCCCGACGGTACCCCCGGGAGAGCGGGGGCGGCGGTGGTACCAGCGGCCGGACAGGTGAGTCTCCCAGTTGCCATGGAAACTTGCAGGGTTGGTGACACCTTCCGAATTCACCCTTCGCCTGTAGTTTCTTTTTCCACCTTCCTTTCTGCCTCCTGGGAGTCTGCGCCTGAGACTCTACTCTTCCCATTTTCCAGATGGGAAAATTGAAGATCCAAGAACGAGAATTTAGGCGAAGCCCCCGCCAGTCAGCAGAAAGTAAAACCCAGAACTCCTGATGCAGAATCTGGAGCTCTTTCTTGCCGAACATATTGCCATCCTCCTTTCTGTCGCTGCCTGGTATCCCTTCACCTCATCCAACTTCTTTTCTTTTTGTTGCTCGCTGTATCCAAAGGATGACTTCGCTTGCCAGTAGCGGTGGAGATGGTAGTCTTTCTGTTTGCTGTCCAGCCTCATTTTCTAGCATCCTTCCCATTCCTTGGAAGGATGTGAAGATGATGGAATGCTTGGAATTTCAGGTCCCCTGGGGATGGAGAAGGAATTGAGCTCCTGTCTTTGCTTAAGGAACTTGCTGCCTTTGACATTCTGGGAGTCTGGAAAGTGGAGCTGTGGTGAGGAGACCCCCCCACCCCCAAAGTTTTCCCAGTGGCTATTAACCCAGTGACCTGAGGTAGAAACACCACCTTTCTTCCCTGCTCTTTCTGCAAGTACCCTGTAGGTGTGGTATTTCTTGGAACCAAGACTTGAGAGCTTAGTTGTTTCTGCCTCTTCTGAACTCATCCATTTGTGGTTTTCTGTGTGAGTGCGTTTAAACTAGCAGCTCCCTGCGAGGAGAAATGGTGACAGATCATTCCCACCCTCCCAGTTTCTGGCTCTAGCTGGGCATGTGGCAGGAGAATATGCCTGTGCAAACTGCAAACTGTTTCCTACCTTGGGACACCCCGGGGTTTTCTTACTGAATTTCTCTGGTCTCCTGGGAAGTAGATAATTTGTGCACCAAAGTCGGACTTGACTGATTGGTAGTGGGCCTCAAAAGGAAGAGACTGACTTTGAGGTTGATGAAATTTCTTTTCCTCTTCCCCTGTCAACCTGATATCTTGAGCACAGAGAGCGCTCTTTGTGACAGAAATGACCAGTTGGTGCAAATCATCCCAGAGAATCTCATTGATGTTTTGGTAGATCTTTACCATATGCAAATGGAAACCATGGTCTTCAACTCCTTTTGGAACCCCTTAGTTCAAACCTTGACATCAAGCTTAGATCTCTTTAAATTCTATATTTTTATAGGCCTTTTCTCCCCCATTAAATGTGTTTTCCATTTTCCTAATGCTGTGCTCCCTGCAACCCCCTCTGCCCCCATTTGGGGCCAGAGTACGGTTCTAGCCCCCCAGCTCTACCATTAACTTGCTCTGTGACCTTGATTACTTTCTATTTCCCTCTCTGCACCTCACTTTCTCCATCTGTAAAATGTGGCTGTTGGTCTAGATCCAGCCCACTGAAAATGTCAGTGAATCAGTGAGGAATAGAATGGTCACTGCTCTTTTCTTTCCCTGGGCAGGCCTTCCTTGTAGCCTCCCTACTTAAGGGGGCTCCAGCCTGAACATGATCCTAGGTTGAGGGGAGAAGGTGTGCCCTGCTCAAGTGCTCAAGTGCTCCTTCTCTTTTGGAAGAACAGTGGTCCGTTTTAAAATAGCTCCTGACATTCTGCCTCTGCCTGGAGAAAGCCCTCGTATTTCATTTGCTGTGGATGCCAGAGTCGTCCTGATTTTCATTTTCTATAGACCCAGATGTGTAGAGAGAAGGTCAAGGTTAACTGCCAGTTTGGCCTGAGCTTTCAAAATAAATTACTCATTTGTGCAGGAGGGGATTGATGCGGGAAGGCAGCCTTTTGGGCAGACAGAAGAGCAACAGCTGGGAGCTGCTCAACGCCCCTAACTGAAATGGACTCACCTGAGAAGCTCTAGCTCTTGTGTTTTCTTTTCCTCTGGAATCCCATGAAGAGGAGGAGGAAGTGGTGAAGGGGTCTGGTGACAGTGGTGGGAGTTGCCTACTGGATATCATTGCTTTAAAGAAAATCTCTGCTTTCCTGGAGCAGCAGAACAGAGCTGTTTTCCCAATAATAAGCATTTCTAGGTGCTACAGGATTCAGCATTCATCTGCTGCCTTTCAGCAACACCCTGCCAAATTTCCACACAGCCCCTTTTTTGTTTCACTCTCCTACAGATGCAAAGTGTTGGGTTTGGTCTCCAGTCCTTGCTTGAATGTCAGCTGGCCTTGAGGGAAGAGGCTGACTTCTCCGAGAGAGAGTGTGCCATCCCTCTTCCCAGTATTACTGAAATGTGCAGACAACACATCAGGCTGCTGTCTGGGAAATCTGGCATCTTGAACACACAGAGTTCCTTTCGGCAGGGTTGACCAGTTCCGAGACCAGCCTGTCACTTTTGTAATTGTTAAACATCATTCCAGAGCACTTCATTGATGTTTCTGGTAGAAATAACTGTAGAAGCTTTGGGGGAAAGTCTGGCAGGACTTTATCCAAATGAAAAAATATATTGCTTGTGGGTCTGAGAGAAGTTTCTTTGAAAGGAACATATGCATTTGTTGAGCAGTCTACTAATGTCTTGATTTCTCCACTAGATTGGAGTTTCAAATTAAGAACGTCTACTCTCAAGAGATAAGCTCTCATAATTGTCAGGCTAGCTTGTTCTGCCTGTACCTCTGGGGTTCTGGAGAACAGCTGATTTATAAAGGACACATAATGCTTCTAGGACTTCATGTTCATCTAGTCAGACAGCTGACTTCTCGGAAAACTGCAAAATTAAGCAGAAAAACTGGTCTTGAAGCCAACTTCATTTTCATTTGGGGGTCCTTCTCTCTCATAGTTCTGGTATGCTTAACAACTTAGTTGAATTCCACATTCTGTTTCATACTACAAGCTTAGGAACTGATTATTTTTAAAAATTACCCGAAACCTCATGTTAGGAAATTTGATTCAGTCCTTACCCTTTTCTGAGCTATAATCTCTTGTGAGAAGTAACTTCATTGGTTAATAGCATTCACAGACTAGAAATCGTGGGATAATGGAATACCAATGACTTTCATTTTCAAGTATCAGGACTTTTTCTCATTGTGTCAGAGCTGAACTTTATTCTTAGAACATCTAGAAATCAATGCTTTGTCTTTCCTTCTCTTACTCTTTTCTAAAGTCTTCCTGGTGGCATAAAGTTAAGAACCACAGAAATGTAGCCTTGGAACAATCTCTTTTATTTTCCACAGAGGGGCTGGGAACGTTTCTATTGCTAATCACTTCTCTGTCTCAGTGCCCAGGTGAAATCTGATGCCACTAGAGGAGGGCTGTTGATTTACTAGAACTTATCTGACTCTCTGCATAAGACACCCAAAGCAGAGAGAATGCTTTAGAACAGGTCTGGGTTCCAGTCTTCTTTTCATTTCTGTTTTACCTCAGGAGAGTTTAATCAGTCTGCACCTCATTTATGAAGTGAAGACTTAGAAAGAGAAAGGAAAAGTGTGTGTTAAATCAATGTTTTCACTTCCCAAGCTGCGGCAAACCCAAAACAAAACCAGTTGTTGCTTAGTCAATTTATAATAACTGTATAGGCCAGAGCACAACAACCAAAACCTGAAGCCTTGGTGAAAACATACAGCTGCTTCTAAGGGACAGCTGGTGAGTTTGAACTGCTGACCATTTAGTTAGCAGTCCGGCATTCAACCATTGGGCCAAAAAGCAACCAGTACCAGTTGGCCTTTTCTGCACTTCCTCAAAACTGCTTTTATGGTGGAACTCATGATATATTTCAACAGTTTAGTTGAAACTAAGTTGCTATATAAGAAATAGATATGTTATTAGTGCTTTTGCTTGTGTTTCTGTGAGTTTGTTAATCAACGTTTTTGGGAGGGCCTGAATAAGAGGAGCATATTTAAAACAGACTTCTTTACTGAACCGATGGTGAGGCCACAATTTAGGAGCATAGTTAATACTGTAATGTCCTCTCTGCGGTTGTGATCTAAGACGTTCTCTTGGTTCCAGTGATATGAAAACATATAATGGAGTCAGAAGTGAAAGCAAACAAATGAACAAAAAACCCCAAAGGCCTGTTTACAAGATAACCATCTAACTTGCTAATTGTATCTCATCCACAATTGGCTATCACACAGAGATGGCATCAGGAGCTCATCATTGTACAAAAATCACTTCAAGGCAAACTAACTTGGCAGCCACAAGCATGTCCTGTAGCCGCTAAATGAGTCTGATAATGCTGTGGATTCTGCATTTTTATAATAGTTGACCCTCTGCATCCCATATATGAGTCAAAGTAGACAAGGGGAAAAAACTTTCTTGCTTCTCCAAAGGGTCATGTCCCATTAGAGTGGGGAAAGGAAGTAGCTTACCTCCTGAGGTCTCAGTTCCTGTGGCTGAGGAGTATACTGTGGCCTCCCTTCAACCCTTACCCCCTAAACATTGTGAAGTAGGAACCACTTTGTCTTCTTGCATATAGCACAGTACGTGAATCTGCTAGGTGATCAAGATGTGTTTGCTGAATGATGGACATAGGTCAGAACAGTGAGGGAGAATCCAAAGTCATTCTGTTCATGGGGAAACTGAACCCTATAAAAGGGTAAGCTGATGAAACAAGTGCTCACAGAGGAATACAGACGAAAATCCTGTTCTTTATCAAGTCCTTACTTTGTTTTACCATAAATATTTTCCCACCATATGAATATACCTGCTCATTACTTACTGACATTGTTAGATTCCCCAAACCAAATCCTTATATGGAAACCAGTGTTAAGTGAACATGGAGGATGACTATATCAGGTCAAATATGGAAGATGACTAAGTCATTACCTCACTGCCCAATCGTGTCCCTACAGAACTGCCAAACTACTAAGGGGACCCATCATTAGCTGTCACAGCCAGTGATATTCTTGCCTTGCACCGTTGTGTTTGTTATTGCTAGATGTATTTCCTTAGAACATAAAATAGTCAGATAGTAGGTTTTTTTATCTTGTATTTTCACTATTGTCATAATGCAGAA